AAAGAAATAACACCAAGAGCATTATTAGACCCATTTTCAAGATGAGCAAATTGAGACTCAGAAAGGTAAATCTGTTCTCTAACTCTGGGAGTTTCCTTATGTGAGGTCCATTCCTCATTGCTTTTCTGTGGCCCACGCTTGACACTTGAGTACCATCTTTAAAGTCTCATAGGGCGGCCGGGGAGATAGCTTAGTAGGATAAGCGCTTGCCTGGCAAGCACAAGGGCCTGAGTTCAATCTCCGGTTCCACAAAAAAATAAAAATAAATAAAAAATAAAGTCTCATAGGATAATGTGGAATCCAGTCTGGGTAAATGGCTGAATATAAACACCACAGGCCCTGGGATAAGGGTGGATGAGACAAGATGCTGTAGCCAGTCAGAGTGCCATGGAGGGGATCAGGGTAGCTCCTGTGCACCATGTGTGTCTTTGCTCAAGACTACAGCCACTGGGTTCCAGTGTTCCTCCCTATAGTCATAAATGACACTGTGGCCCAGTGGCTTTCCTGATGAAGTGCATGTGGGAGAATGCTGAGCCTCAACAGTGGAAACCCTCCCAGTAAGCGTGAGCCTAGGAGGACTGAGGGACAAATCAGTGCCATGAAACTCAATGAGGGGAGCAGTCAGATGACTGCAGGGAATGTAGGCAGGTTTTTGGGTTTTTTTCTTATAACATCCACCTTTAAAAAGCATTGAGGGGGCGATTCATGGAGCAGGGGCTGCTGCAGTTTCCAGGCGTTGGCCATTCCATGCCTGTCCCTAACCCGAGCATTTTATGGCCAAGACTGCAAAGAACATTAGTTTTTTAAAAGAGGAATGAAAAAGAATCCAAAACACACATCCTGAAATATCATTCCCAAAGCCTGAGAGCGAGTGGGTCAGGGAGACGTCACAGCCGACAGCCAGCATCAGTGCGGTGTTCTCAACAGGAAGAGTAGACTCGGATCTATGGGGCAAGGTCCTGTGGCTCCGCTCTAGTACAGGGACCTGGGAGTGGCCCGCAGGAAGGTTTGCAGGGACTGGCCTTGGTTGCAAAACAAGAGATGTGAAGGATGAACGTGCTTAGATGAACGTACTTGCCCGGGGCCGTGGCTGTGGCTGTGCTGAGCTTAACACTAGAAGATGTGATTTACTCAACTCTCAAGTGCCAAGCGCTGGGTTGAAAACTACCCTTGTGATGCTCAGAGATGTTAAAGAAACAGTTGGTGCGTATAGTTTGCACTCCCGCCTTGACACTCGGGCAGAAGTGGAATGCTTTGCTCAGAGACAACGTGTGTGTGTGTGTGTGTGTGTGTGTGTGTGTGTGTGTGACAAAAGCCTAATTTCAGAGCTGTTCTCTGATGTGTCCCATATATATCCTGGGATGCCACTTGAGGTCAGATAGTCACCCCAGAAATACCTATGCATTTCAGGGAATTTAAAGAATGATCTCTTCTTCCAGAAGAATAGAAAAACATACTCTTACTTCCCGCGCCCCAGTGCTTTCCGCCCTTTTAGGCTCCACCCCAAATTTTATGATGTCTGTGTGCCTATGATTGCAAAAAAATATTTTCTACCGAAAAGAGGAGAAACCAAACTTAATAAGCAGATTTCCAGAGTGAGAAGATGTAACCCCTGGCAACAAAACAAAGCAGCTCTCTCAGCATCTGAAACTCATGATGCGGCTTGATCCATATGGCCTGTGGTCCTTCCTGCTCGTGCTGGAGGTGGCCAAGAGGTGGGAGGACAGGAGAAGGATGCTGTTGCAGCCTCTGCAGACAGAGGGGCCCAGAGGAGCCAGGGAGCGTGCGCACTGCTCCCCAGTTCTGGCAGGCAGCTCTAGGAAAGCGATTCAGCCACAGTCACCTTGATCAGGGTCTTGAGCCTGAGGATGAGGGAAACAAGGTACATTCTGGTCATTGCTAGAGTGAGCTGCCGGGTAGCACACAGCAGCAGAAGTCTGAGAGAGGGAGGGCTTGGAAACACAAGGAAACTGAGGACCAGGCTGGAGGTCAGACTTTGGCTGTAGCGTTCACCCTGCGATGCAGACCTTGGAGCAGGTAGTACTCGTTCAGCAGCCTGGGGAGTTCATCCACAGCAGCTCGGGCATCATGCAGGATGTCCCGCTGCCCTTGCAAAGTGAAAGAACTGGGTCCCAGACCAGGTACACAGGTAATCAAGGGGACACATCTAATTGTTTCTGCCTCCTTCACCAGGGGGACAAAGGTGCCATTGGGATGCCTGGACGTGTGGTGAGTTGGCATTTGGACCTGCTTGGGTGGCTACTGCTTGCTTCGACATGCTGACCTGTCCTCCAGAACTTGGCAAAGTGCTGCCTACCTGAACCCCAAGTGGCCTCAGGGAGGGCCAGGGAAAGAGAAGGGACTCTTATCCATCTTCAGATCTCACAATATGGCTTCATGTAGCTTGTCCATACAGTTTCACTGTGTCTGTGATCCAAAAATATTTACTATCAATGAGATATGCTGAAAAAGAGACCACATCCACACAACTTTAAAAGAAATATTCTTGCAGTTGTCCTGTTGCATTATCCTAGCTGTTAGTCTTTTATGTGCCTAATTCACCCTTTATCGCAGGTCTGCATGGATAGGAGAGAACAGTAAATATAGGGTTGCAGACAATCTAGGGGTTCCAGGGTCCCGGGGTCTTGGGCTGCGTTCCCTGCACAAGAGTGCAGGAGACTGTGCTCTGCATAGCTGTCACCACCCACGGGAAGTGCAGGGAACTGGATGATGGGGTGAAGTTCCCCCAGCCACAACCCCAAGCGAGCGCTTCACCCCCAGAATTACCGTCCCTCCAGCGACTATCCCCAGGGGAATCAGCGTTTCCCGAGTGTCTTCTGTAGAAGCAGATTCCCTCAGTGACGGTAAAGATAGGGCTTCACTCTGGCCGGTGCCTCCAGGTCCTCACCAGGAGTCTCAGCATGGAAACCTTTAATGATTCTTGATGAAAACTGAAGATGGAGAAAGGGAGATAGGACCCGTCAGGGCGGGTATGTCCCAGCGGTGGAAAGGCTGGCACAGGCCCCAGTCCTAACACCAGGCTTTTTCCTAGCAGCCTCAGAATGATGGTCTCCAGATGACCAGAAGGGTGACAGCCTGATGCGGTAACAGCCAGGCGCCATCTCAGCACCAGGCAGCCTGGTCCAGAATCTGGCTAGAGCTGCTCCCCCTCTGATTCCTAACCTCCTACCAGCATCAGCCTTGACCTCGAGGCCCCTCCAGGCCCTCCCCATGCAGTTCCTGGCTGGCTTGGCCTTGGCATGGCTGTGGCATCTTGTATGACCCTGCACGCCTGGGCTGAGCATGGAGACCAGGCATGCGAACCGTAGCTAATCCTTCCAAGTGCTAACCTTACGCTGGGTGCTGGGCTAAGGGCCTCACGCACAGTGGCTTGTTGAACTGCACAAGGAAAGCACCATTTACACCCCCATTTCTCAGATTAAAAACAGAGGCTCAGTGGTTAAATATCTTGCCCAGGGTCACATGGTCAGGAAGAGGCAGGAACTTTAGCCCAAGCAGCCAGCCTCCAGACATGCACCCTGGCAGTGCACCCACAGTCCTGCAGCTGTCAAGGGGTCCGACTCTTAGGTGGAAGCCCCAAAACTGGAACATTCTACAGTTAGGGACAAGTGTCCTTCATCACAAAACCTTGAGCTCCCTGGGTGGTGCCCACACCAGGCTTATGTCAGTGCCTGGGGGCTGGGAGCCCTCAGCCACCTCCCCTGAAGCTCTTCTACCTGTTCCAGACCTGAACGCTAGGGGACCCCTGCCTGGCCCACCTCTCTGCCTAAGCTCTCTCCCCTGAGTCTGCCCAGGCAGTTGCTGGTTCCCTCTCATGCTTTCTCAAGGGCTCAGGGTATGTGGGTCTAAGCCAGGCACCTAGTCCACCACAGCCCACTGAGCCCTGTTTTATGGGTGAGGATGTTGAATCTCAATTTGCTCAAGATGGGGTTAGAGTTGGATTTGCGTCCAACCTGACAGCCCCGCAGTCCCTACTCCTAATAGGATAAGCTTCCTTCTAGAGTCTCCCTCATCCCCCAGAGCAACCCTGGGCTTCAGAGAAGGATGCAAAATGCAAGTGGCACCTCTTTCTTCCTGCCCTCCACCTTTGTGGATACCTTCTGTTTGATAGTGGTGGAGAGAGATGGGGGGGGAGCACAAAAAGTCTCCCACTTCCCAGGACAAGGCTTCTTTCAAGCCACTTTGGGGCTTCATGCTGCTGGTGCTATTTAAATGTGACAATGGCCCATTTGGTTGCCCACTGGGGGTCCCAGTGTGGGTCACCTGATAAGGACTGGGCACCTATGGGTGTGAAATTCCTGCATCATTTTCATACTTTGCCAGAGGTGGCAGCACTGGCCAGTTGCGGGCAGAGTGGAGGGAGCTGTCCATCCTCTGCTGGCCACTGTGGTGACATCCTTCCATGGTTCCATGGTTCCTTCCCCAGATTCCTCTGTGTCCTGCCGCACCCTTGTGGATATGTGTGCGTGCGCCCTTCCATCCACCCATGTCCCTCTGACCCGCCTCCTGGCCCGGCCATCCCTACCAGCTCCAGGCTAGTCAAGCTTGGCAAAGCTTTGTACCTGGTACCCAGCAAGGCCTTCAAAGCTCCTAGTGTCCACTGTCCTTGGGGACCTCCCCAGCTCCACCCCACCTCTCCTCACTCTCCTGCTGGACCACAGCTTCTCAGGCAGGTTTTCTGGCCTTGTTTTGGTCCTGTTTTCTCTCTACATCATTGTCTGTGCCTGTCTCTGTCTGTCTGTCTGTCTGTCTGTCTGTCTCTCT